CTGTTCAGTTTGTGAGTATTTACTGAGACACATATTTTTTGCATGTATATAATACTTAAACTGTTAAGGGGTCTGATCTATCTCATATTATAAATGATGTAAACTTTTAAAAACTAGATATATGCCCAGCGGTGGTAGCGCATGCCTTTAATCCCAGCACTCAGGAGGCAGAGCCAGGCAGATCTCTGTGAGTTCAAGGCCAGCCTGGGCTACAGAGTGAGATCCAGGACAGGCTCCAAAACTACACAGAGAAACCCTGTCTCAAAAAACCAAAATAATATATATATGTGTGTGTGTGTGATTGTTATTAATCACTTTAAATAGAGAAGGGGTTCTTAAGAATATCAGAAGACTAGACTACATTAAATGAACAGTTTTTCTTTCCCAAAAGACCTGTTAAAGAAAATGTGAAGACAAGCCACAAACATAGACAAATTATTACAACATAAATAAGTAAAAAAGAATGATTTTTTTCTTTTAATTATCTTCAAATTTGTGTGTGTGTGTGTGTGTGTGCGTGCGCGCGCACGCGCGCGCGCATACATGAATACAAGTGCCCTCAAAGGCTAGAAAATGGGTCCCTCTGGAGCTAGAGTTACAGGCAGTTGTGAGCCTCCTGGCAGGGGTGCTGGGAATGCAATATAGGTACTCTGGAAGAGCCAGTTAGCCACTAAGCTATCACTCCAGCCCCCAAAATATTTTTACATCAATGAACAAAGATAACTGAATGCACCAGAAAGCCAGAGTGACTAATGAAAAGATGCTCAAGCATCAGAAACAAGAAAATACACTAAAATCATGCAGTGTTAGCATGTCAAGCAAACTACAGAAAACATAAACTCAAACAATTATAAGTATTTGCAAGAATACGAGATCTCAGCTGGGAGTCGGTGGCACACACCTTTAATCCCAGCACTCGGGAGACAGAGCCAGGCAGATCTCTGTGAGTTTGAGGCCAGCCTGTCTACAGAATGAGATCCAGGACAGGCACCAAAACTACACGGAGAAACCCTGTCTCAAAACAAACAAACAAAAAAACAAAAACAAAAAACAAAAAAAAGAATACAAGATCTCCCTTCCACTGCTGGCACAATAAATATGGGTACAGCACTATTTTGTGCTTTCTAACGAAGTTGCAAAATGTGCAAGCCTGTGGTAGTTTGAATAAGAATGACTCCCACAGGCTCATATATTTGTATGCTTATACATCAGGGAGTGGCATTATTTGAGAAGAATTAGACAAATTAGAAGGTGTGCCCTTGCTGGGCAGTGGTGTGGCACATGCCTTTAATCCCAGCACTAGGAAGGCAGAGGCAGGCAGATCTCTGTGAGTTCGAGGCCAGCCTGGGCTACAGAGCGAGATCCAGGACAGGCTCTAAAACTACACAGAGAAATCCTGTCTCAAAAAAACAAAAAAAGTGTGGACTTGTTGGAAGAAGTGTGTCACTGGGGATAGGTTTTGAGGTTTCATAAGCCCATTCAAGGCTCAGTCACTTTTTCTCTATCTATGGATCAGGATATAGCTCTCAAGACACTGTTCCAGTGTCTGTCTGCATGCTACCATGCTTCCTGCCATGATGATAATGGACTAACCTTCAGGAACTCTTAAGTAAACCCTCAATTAAATGTTTTTTTTTTCCCCAGATAGGGTTTCTCTGTGTAGCTTTGCACCTTTCCTGGATCTCACTCTGTAGCCCAGGCTGGCCTTGAACTCACAGAGATCCGCCTGGCTCTGCCTCCTGAATGCTGGGATTAAAGGCGTGTGCCACCAACGCCCGGCCTCAAATGTTTTCTTTTATAAGCTGTCACTTCACAGAGAGACGTCATAGAACAGTGACTAAGACAAAGCCTAAAACTAGTATATTCCCTATAGACATTCTTCTGCATGTGTACCAGGAAGTATGCATATAAATGTAGCACACACCTTTAATTTCAGTACGCAGGAGGCAGAGGTAAGTGGATCTTTATGAGTTCCAGGCCAGCCAGACTACATACAGTATCTAGACAAGAGAGACTTGCCCCACCCCCACCCCCAAAAAGGGAAAAATTAGTAGGATACTAGGCAGGCTTAATGGCACCTATTTCTGGTTCTAGTTTGTGAGAGGCTGTTCCCATAGACCCAGGGATCACTTGAAGTTAGGAAACTGAGATTATCTTGGACAACACAGATTATGTCTCAAAAAACAAAAACAAGGGCCAGCCAATCTCAGTGTAATGGTACAAACACTTAATTCCAGCATACAGAAGCAAAAACAGACAGATTTCCATGAGTTCTAGGTCAGCCTGGTCCACAGAGCAAGCTCCAGGTCAATCGGGGCTACATAGCGAGATTCTGTGTCAGTAATAACAAAAATAAAAAACAAAACTCCAAACAAACAAGAGTAGGATACAGCACTGGAAATAAAAGAAATACCCATAATAATGAGATCACATTTTTGACAGTCAAGCAAAAGATAGAAATCTCAGAGTACTTGAGTGTGGTTACTTCTATACATGTTTACATAGACTTAGTCTCATAGAGGGTAAAATTACAAGGAGGAACTGTCAGAACTACATAGAGAGAATTTCTCTCAAAAACACTTTTGTTGGTTTTAAGGTAAAGGTTCCATGTATTGTGTGAATGTGTGCATGAATGTGAATACCTTCTCAGAAGAAAAACAATATTTCTATTTAGTGGGAAATTGTCAGTAGGACTTAACTTACTAAATTGTCTCAAATAACTGGATCACTAAGAGAGGAATGGCATCAACCAAGTTTACCACAAAGTCCACATCCTTGTAAACACAGTTTCCCCTGTCAGGTTGTCCTGCTTACATTTATTGGCAAAAGAAAAAGATAATCTAATTTATTTTTTTTTTCCTTTTGGCTTTCTGAAACATGGTCTCAGATGGCCCAGGTTGACCTCAAACATCTGGCCTTGAGCTTCTGTTATTCCTGCCTTTGTCCCTAAGGTTTGGAGGTTTGGAGGCATGTAGATCCATGCTTGCCTTTCAATTTATTTATGTATTCATTCATTCATTTATAATTATGTGTATCCTTTATAAAGTATTCACATTCATACTCACATTCACACACATATAAAGGATATGCACTCATATGCACAAACCCATGGAGGCTAGAGGTAACAGATGCCCCCTGAAGTTGAAGTTATGGGTGGCTGTAAACTACCAAATATGGGTGCTAGAAATGAAACTCAGGTCCTCTGGGAGAGCAGTATGATATGATCTCTTAACTACTGAGCTATTTCTCCAGTCCCTTTAAAAATTTTCTTTCTTCCTTCTCCCCCCCCCCGCCTTTTTTGAGACAAGGTTTCTCTTTTTTTTTTTTTTTT